CTGTTAATGCGATCTGCTGTGAGTCTGCTGCTTCTGCTTTGGAGTTGTATGATCTGATCGCACACAGGTTCCACTCCCATATAACTGGACCTCTGACATTTCTAGGTCTGTAACTTAATTCTAATTCTTCGTCTGCTTCCATGTAGACAACTTGTTAACTCCCTAATGGATAAGAACAAACCCAACTGGAATTTTCAACTTGATCTCAAGTATTAATATCACAGCTGTCCTACATATGCTTGTCTGCCTTCAAGAAAACTGGAATAAATAAAAGATGGTCAATGGCATGTCAGTTTCTCAAGAAACAACAGAGAAGAGCCCATATAAAGTAAGTGAGAACCACTAAAAAGTAAACATCCGAAGTGAAAATGTGTGTGTGTGTGTGTGTGTGTGTGTGTGTGGTATGTGTATGTGTTGGATGTAGTTTGGAGAAGGTAAGTAAGCACAGCTGTCACCATAGAATGGAGGAGAAAATGAGCCAAGTGGATCCAACTCTACCGTCACCCAAAACCTGCAGGAAGTACCTGGAGAAACTAGAATGTCACTTTTTACCACTCTTTTGCCCCAAATAGTATGAGACCATGTTCGGTGTTCATCCCTGTCTGTACATCCAAACAGAGAGAATAACCTAGAATTATAGGAGAGTGACCTCTAAGGAGAAGAAGGCCTTAGTTGAGAGTAATCTATGAACAAACTGTTCTCTTCCCAAGTTACAGATTTTTGTATTTTTTTAAAGATTTATTTCTTAGTTTTGGGTGGACACAATACCTTTATTTTATATTTATGTGGTGCTGAGGACTGAACCCAGTGCCTCATGCATGCTAAGCGAGCACTCTACCACTGAGCTACAACCCCAGCCCCTGTCTTTTTTTTTTTTAATAACATTTGCAAATGTTCTGCCCTTGTCATATAATCTTAGACCTTAGTTTGTAAGGTATTATTTGTTTTTAGTTTTTAAAATGTCACCAGGATACTGAGAAAAATGTCACATAGATAAGAAATGTAATATATATTTGGGATCTGATCTGAGCATAGCCATCTGTGTGTGCACAGTACATAATCTGGATATTGTCGAACTCTGAGTAGTTTATTTGTAGTCTGATTGAATCACGTGTCAGTGAGGGATGCTCATACCCAAGTGCTCCATCACAGCGCCATCATACACTGGCGTTATTTGGACTAAAGCACACCACAAAGCAGAGTCAACCCAGAATTGAGGAAAAAAACACCACATCATCTTTCCAGACTCCTGTGGAGCTATGGTGGCCACATGACAAGCCTTAGGTGATAAGATAGTGGCAAAGTCTTCCTGGGAGCTTCTCGAGACCATACCCTTTCCTCAAAATAGGACATATACAGTCATTGAGAAAGCCTTTGTTGTGTCCCCTTCTTTCCTGCCTCTCAAAGCAGCAGTAGGAGGATGCATATAGTTGGAACTGCAGTACTGTCCTGCAACTGAGGCAGTCAGCTGGAGGGGCATGCCAATATGCTGAGGTTAGAAGACTGGAAATGAGGAGGAACACTTAGGTTCTTGATAATGTTGTTGATATGCTGAACCAACCTTGGGCTCTCTTCCAGACTTGTTGGTAAAAATAAACGTCCTATGATTTAAACCACTGTAGTTGGGTTTTCTCCTGTTTTATATTTAGCATAGTGTCAACACAGTCCCTGAGATTACTCATGGAGCCAGCAGCCCAGTCCTCTTCGTCCATATACAATTGCCTGGGGACACAGGGAGGAAAGATGAGAAAGTAGAGAATAAGATGGCTTGATACTCAATCTGAGCTCAGAAATAAGTTCAGACTCCCTTTGTAAGAATCAGACAGGATTTCCATGATTTTTCATGAGGCCTTTGTAAACCCTGGGACTCAGCATCTTTGGAGTTTTGCTGTTTTGACAGCACCAAGAAACAGCACCTTGGACAGTAACTTTAGATTATCAAGCATTGCTGAGGTAGGAAGAACAGAAGGTCATGTGTAGACTTTTCCCTGAACCCTCGTGTATTACTTCGGGAGGACTTCCAGAAGTAACAAGAAGAGCCTTTGAAAAGCACCAAGATTGTGGGCCAGCATGTATGAGCAAACTGCACAGTGACAGGTAATGGATATCATTATAAGCTCATTTGTTTCCAGACAATGAGATCTATGACCTTGGTAACACACCCAATACACATAATAGTTTTTATTTATATTGAGTAAATTTATGCCAACATGCAATTCAGTTTATTCTATTGACAGAGCATGCTAAAATCAGTATCTCCTTCTAAAATAACTGAAAATATTTTTCATTGTAGATGGTAGGGTTTATGCAAGCCACACTTGTGTGAATAAATTAAGAATATATCATAGGCTATAGCTGAAGCGTACTTTGCTTTTATGTCAGTCTGATGTGGTCCACACCCTTGTCATAGAATGCTACTAAGAAGTGATTTTCAAATGCATCCTCTGCCCACCTCTGGGGAGATTTGACACAGCATTATATGTAAAATTGATCAAGGTAGAGTAGGTCTGAGAGAGGCAGGATTAGGCTCAGATCCCCATACCGGTTGGCCCAAAAGTATTTCTGTTGTAAATTTGAGTGCAGTTTGAGCAGTTGTACCTCTGCATTTATTTTTCTTTTTTTCTCTATACAGTTGTAACTATTCAGGTGAGATTGGAACCCATTTGCTATTCATCGTCTAGGTTGAGTTATGTTTTACTCGGAAATATCAGAAATGAATGTTTTTTCGCAAACTCCACTCACTCTGGGTACAATAAGGATTTACAAGACAAAGTCTCCCTCGGTGGGATGAAGATGGGATTCTTCCCCTTCAATTTCTTATAGAACAATGACTTCAAAGTAATAGAATTTCCATTTACACAGGTGGATACTCAAGGAGTTACATCACCCCTTTGGGACTGAGAATTCCTTGATAGAAGAGACCATTTTTTTACTCTCCTTTATATTCTCTGCCATTCCTAGCCTGGAACAAGTGTTCTGAAAGGTCTTGTCAAATTGAATTGTAAAAGAGAAGCCATTCTAGAATTGAATTATACTTCAATACACCTGTTTCTGTGTATGTAAGTAATATTTTTTGAACATGAGGATTGAAGCTTTTTTTTAATTTGAATATGCCTTCAGAATGAAATCTAAACTTCTTAGTTGCTTTAAGGTTATAAATTATTCTGTTTTTAAAAAAATTATCTTAAGCCTCTATCTGTGCACGATATAGCTCTGGGCATTTTAAATGTATTGCTATGTTTATTTAGTCATTACCCATTCCTTATCAATACTACTGGGCATATTTTTTACTTAATTATCTCAGTTTCAATATTTAATTTATTACTATTTATTAATATTTTAATACTAGGTATATTTGATCTTTATAATTTCCTTCAGGCTGGTTTTCTACCCTCCTGCTGCAGATGAGAAAGGTCAAACTCTGGTAGGTGAAGAGACTCATGCAATTCCTAGGGTATATACTAGGAAGAGAGCTAGAAACTTATCTGATTCCCAGTACTGTGGTTTTTCTTCTTGGCCTCTTTATGCTCTATGACCTTTTTAATTTAACTGAACACCTTTATCTCTTTACATATCACCCCATCTCTAAAGAACCTTTACCATAGTTGTCTTCCTATCTTCTCTCCTCTCCTTCTCTCCTCTTCCTTCTCCTCTACTTGATTTTTTGTCTTTTCTCCTCTCTCTCTCCCTCTCTTTCTCTCTCTCTTCTCTTTCTTTCAAGTGAGAATTGTATTGAGATTCATAGATGGGTGGGGTATTGCCTTGGAGGGAGTCTAAAGAGCTAAGATGATCTACTCATTTATGGAGTTGTAAAATTCTGAGTCGGGGGAGAATATTTTGTGAAGAAACAATACGTTTTATAGAGTTGGTCATTAATTGCCTTACACATTTTCTTTCCTGTTTACCTCTTTCCAAAGTTGGCTTAATAAACAAATTTATCCAAATTCGATTAGTTGAATCACTTAATTCTAGTGCTAAAAGTTTTTTCAATATATTTCCTTGAAGATAAGGATCATATTTAAAGCTGGGGCACAGTGCGCAAGCCTGAAATTCAAGCGGCTCAGGAGGCTGAGGCATGAGGATCACAAGTTTGAAGCCAGCCTCAGCAATTTAGCGAGACCCTGTCTCTAAATAAAAATATAAAAAAAGGGCTGGGGATGTGGCTCAGTTTAATTACCAAGTACCCCCCCCCCCCCCAAGAATTATATTTTATCAAATCTTTGTGGTTGGACAATTTCTTATAATAAATAATAAGTTGAAAGCTGATCAAACTGAATGAATCAGTTGAAAGCTGAATGAATTGTGAATAAATGATCGAATTAATGAATGCACAGAAGAGGAGGAACTTAGATGGTAAATTCCACAAAGACGACATCCTTGAATTGATGATACTTTGTAGAAAACCTACATATATATGTATGTATATGTATCTATGTATATGTGTGTATATACTAACTATAGATATAAAATATATAATATATATATATTATATATAATTATATATAATATATATTAATTATATATAATTAATATAATTATATATAAAATATATAATATATATAATTATATATTATATATAATTATATATATTATATATATATATATATATATATATATATATATATATATATATATATATGTTAGTTAGTTAGTTTTAGCTGTTAGATGAGAAGAGATTGTCTACTTATTCCTAGCATATAACTAGGGAATAGAAAGAGAAGAAAATGAAATAAAATCGAGTGCTCTCTACAGTCCTAGGTGCCGTCAGGGTTTTACCTCAGGTAATCGTCACAAGATCCTGTGAGTTGGATCATTTTACAGAGGAGGAACCTGGGATCTCAAGCGCACACCCCATCAGACCCTGGGAAGTCGAGCGGGTCATTTGCCCTATCGTTGCATTCACAGCGCTGCAGAAATTGAGAAGCGGCAGAGCAATGATCCTATAGTAAAACAAACACACATCTCTCTCGGTTCCCCTTCCGCTTCCGAGACGTCGTAGCTCGGGAGGCCAGGGCTTCTAATGTCGCCTTTCAACCACAGACGAGGCAAGAACAATGAGGCGAAAGTTACAGCCTTTCCCTGGTCCTTTTCAGCCGGCGGAACGCAGGTGCTGGGGGCTTCAGGCGCGGAGGGGACCCGAGAGGCACGGACACACGGCCCGGCAGTTGCCTGGTAACGCCCGCTGGAGGAATCCCAGCGTAATTAGGTCCCAGAGAAGTATCCCCGGCCCTGAGCGCGACCCGGTGGCGCGTTCTCTCGGTGCCCGTGGTCTGTCCCCGCGGCTTGGCGGGCGAGGGCAGGGGAAATGTTGCAGGAAGAGTCGGATCTGTCCCTCATTATTGCCCAGATAGTCCAAAAGCTTAAGGGCTCCAATCTGTACGCTCAGCTGGAACGGCAGGCCTGGGTAAGTGGGGCCGAGGGGGAAGCTGGGGCCGGGCGGGGCGCGGGGCCGCCGGTCCCCTCGGCGCTCGCCTCACCCAAGCCGGGTCTCGCCTCTGCTCTCTCCCGCTGGACTCTAAAATCTCCTCTACCAGGGCCCAGCGCAGGCGTGGGATGGAGATTTCAAAAAGAAGGGTGGGGCGCATCACGCCTTTCTTCAGGCCCAGAAGAGCCGAGGCTGCTCATTCATTAATCTATTCTCGTCTAATTCATTCAGCTGTTTTATTAAAAGTGGCCTGGACCACGGCTTCCCTCACTTTTTTTTTTTTTTTTTTTTTTTGCCTTGTGGGTGGATTTGGGACCTAGGTGCTTTCCCCTCACCCGGTCTCTGTATACTTTGTTGCCCTTTATCTTCTCTGCAGTGATTTCCCCCCTATTAGTCCACCCAGCCTTTATTAATTTGTAATGCAGTAGGCTCTGTGAATGCATAGATTAAGAGACCTTCGCTTTTCATTGTTGTTGTTGTGTCATGTAAATGGAATCATAGAGTATGTAAATTGTTTGTGCATGCCTTTGGTCATTTAGCATAAGGCTTTTGAGATTCATGCATGCAGTTGATATTTCAGTAGTTTTGTTCTTTTTTTATTACTGAGTAATATTTCCTTGTTTGGATATCCCATGGTATTTGGGTGGATTACTGATTAAAAGTAAAGTTGATATATACATTCTAGAATAGCTTTTTGCTTGGATATTTATTTTCTTTTTTCAAATACCTAGGAATGGAATTGCTGAGTCTTACGGCCTCTGAGCTTTTCCTAAATAGCACTTTACATTCTCATCAGCAATTGTGAAAATTGCAACTGTTCTGCATCTTTAATTTAATAGCAAGCGATGATGGCTTTTTATTTATTACTTTTGATTAATTCATTTTATTTATTACACTCCTCTAGAAGAAGCATAGTGGTATTTCCCTAGTTACAAATGACATTAAACCTTTCTCATGTGCTTGTATCTTCTGTGGTGAAATAGTCTTTTCAAATCTTTTGCCCATTTAAAGTTTGTGGGTGTTTTTTTTTTTTTTTTTAATTGTTGAGTTGTAAGGATTCTTTTTGTTGTTGTTTAATTTTTTAAAATTGTCAATGGACTTTTACTTTTATTTATTTATATGTGGTGCTGCGAATTGAACCCAGTGCCTCACACATGCTAGGTAAGGCTCTACCACTGAGCCACAACCCCCCCCAGCCCAAGGATTCTTTATATATGATACAAGTCTTTCATCAGATATGCATCTTGCAAATATTTTCTTCTAGTCTGCACTTTGTATTTTCAGTTTCTTAACTGGAAATTTCAAAGAGCAAAATTTGATAACATAAAATTTTAACCATTTCTTTCTTATGATTTATGCTTTTAGTGCCCTGAAAGTCTTTGCCTAATGCAGAGCCTCAATTTTTTTAATGTTTGTTTTAATAGCTTTATAATTTTGTCTTTTATGTTTAGGCCTGTGATGCATTTTCAGTTAATTTTTTAAAACAGTGCAAGGTAAAGCTTCCCTGCTTTTTTATTCTGAATGAACGTCCAGTATTTCCAGTACCCATTTGTTTATAAGCCTATCATTTCTCCATTGATCTCCTTGTCAACTTTGTTAAAAATCAATTGTGTCTAGTGCTTTCTTTATTCTGTTCCATTGATCCGTTTGTGTATTATTATGCCAGTACTATGCTATCTTGAGTTTTGTAACTTTATAGTAAGCTTTCAAATCAGGTCCTCCAACATTGTTTCTCTTTTTCAAAATAGTTTCTAAAATTTATATGGCAAAGCAAAGGACTTTAGAATCAACTTTTAAATTACTACAATGCTCTTTTAAGATTTGGATTGAGATTATGTTGAGTCTGTAGATTAATTTGGGGAGAATTAAAATCAAACACGATATTGAGTTTTCTAGTTCATGAACATAGTTTATCTTTTCACGTATTTATATAATCTTTATTTTCTCTTGTCAGAGTTTTGTAGTTCTGGTATACATATTTTGTATACTTTTTATTTAGATTTTTCTCTAAGTATATCATGTTTCTGATACTATTTTAAGTAATAAGTTTATCATTTCAATTACCAGTTGTTTATTGTTAGTACAAGGTAATATAATTGATATTGGTCTATTTACTAAGTGCTTAATAAAAGACTGAGACCTTGCTGAACTTACTCGTTAGTTATAGCACACTTTTCATAGTTTATATAGGATTTTCCAGATACATGTATTGTGTGCAAATTAAGACAGTTTTGCTTTATCTTTTCTATCTGTATGCCTTTTATTTCTTTTTCTTACTGTAATTGTGCTACATAACAACTCCAGTGCAATGTTGTATAGATGCTTTTTATCAAGTTGAGGAAGCTATCTTCTGTTCCTGGTTTTCTGAGAATTTTATTATGAATGAATGATAAATTTTGTTAAATATGTTTCTTGCATGTGTAGAGATGCTTATGTGATTTTTTTCCCTTTCAGTATGTTGGTAAGGTGAATAATTTTGAATGACTTTGAATATTTCATCAATTTTGCATTCTGAGATAAATTGCACTTTGATATGATTCAGTTTGCTGATGTTTTGCTGAATATTTTGTGGTTTTATTCATTAAATATATTGGTAGTTTTCTTCTAGTGTTTTTATCTGGTTTTGATATTGGGTAATGCTGATCTTATAAAATAAGTCAGGAAGTATTTTCTTCTCTCCTACTTTTTGGAAGAATTTGTGAAGCATTACCTTTATTTCCTCTTAAAGTGTCTTATAGAATTCCCAATGAAGTCACAGGGATTGGGAGGTGTGTTCTTTTTTCCCCCAAAAATGTTTTTAATAAAAAATTCAATATAAAAATATATATTGGACTAATTAGGCTATGTGTTTCTTCTTGTAAGATTTAGTAGTTCTTAATGTTTCAAAAGTTGTTCTTGTAGAAGTAGAGAGTAGAATAGTGGTTACCAGAGGCTGGGAAGGGAGGGGGATGAGTGGGGTTCACTGAAAGGCACAAAAATGCAGTTGGATAGGAGGGTTCAACTCCAGTGTTCTGGGCTGCCAGTGGTTAAAAAGGATTGTCCAAAATGGTTAGAAGAGAGGATTTTGTATGTTTGAACAGAAATGATAAATATTTTGAGGAGATGGATAAAATTATCTTGATTTGATCATTCCATATTGTATACACGTGACAAAACATCATAGCATATCTCATGAATATGTACATTTATGTGTCAGTTAAAAATAAAAAATAAAAGGTGGTACTTAGTCTACATTATCAAATTTATTCACACGAAGTTGTTTATATCCCTTTATTTCCCTTTGAGTGATAGCTCCTCTTTTATCCTTGATATTGTAATGGTATTTAATCTTTTTTTCTTAATTAGCCTGCCTAGGAAGTTACCAATTTTATTGGTGTTTTCAAAGAGATAGCTGTTGTCTTCATTGTTTTCCTGTTTTCAGTCTTTTAGTTTTTTTTTTTACTTATTATGGTGTTCTGCTTGCTTTGGGTTTAATTGCTCTTTTCCTAGCCACTTAAGTGGAAATTTATATTATTGATTTGATACTCTTCTTCTGATATAAAACTGTAAATTTCCCTCTATGTTTTAGCTGAATTAAGATATATTCTATTGCATTTTCATTTAAAAAATTCTGCTGTGACTTTATCTTTGATTCACAGCTGTCTAGAAAAGCATTGTTTAATTTTTAAATTTTAGGGGATTTTTACTGATACCTTCCTCTGATTTCTGGTTTAACACCATTATGATCAAGAACACTATGTGCATGTTTTCAGTTCTTACAAATTTGTTAAAGTTCTGTTTATAATAGAATAAATTCTATTTTGTTGAATGTTTCACGTACCCTTGAGAAGCACTTTCATTCTGCTGTTGCTGTTCTATAAATGTCAATTAGGTCAAGTACTAAAATTGATAATTTTGTTCAAGGTACTTTTCTATAAATGTCAATTAGGCCAAGTATCTAAGATGGGAAATTTTACTCAAGAATTCTCCATGTTTACTGAGGCTGGGACTTCAGACAGTATAGTCAGGAGTCAGGCTAGGTTTGGGTTTTGTTGTCATTACCCTCAGTGTGCCACAAGTTTCAAATTCCTTCAGTGGTGGGCTTGTGTTACCTTTTACTTGGAATAGGTCTTGGGGAATGGGTGAGTGTGTCTCAGTGTTTGTGTATTATCCTCACCTTTCATCCATCTCTGCTTGCCTGTTACTTAGAGGGAGAACTCTCCCCATGCCTTTGTTCTTCCCCCAGCGGGGCTTGACTCTTTATTCTCTTGTCTCAGTCCATGTGCTTTGTCCTGGGAGTGGATCTTTCCCACATTTGGCATGTTCCGTCCTTTTCTCTATTTGGTAACCAAACTGTGCCTTGTATCTGTGGCAGGTATTGGGTGAAAGAGAGACCTGCCCTTCCCTAGTGTTAATTTATTTCTGCTTTGTATTGATGTAGGATCCTGGGCCCAAGAGACTTTGCAACTATTTCACAGCATGAGAGGAAAGTTTGGTTAATAAAATAGTTTTATGCCTATTCTACACTGGCAGCCCAGCCCTTCTTACATATCTGTGCCACAAAAGTATGCTGTCTTTGAATATTCCTGCTTTCCCACAATCTTTCATGAGTCTGGTGGAGAAAAGTGGAAAAGAGCATCCAAATGAGCGAATTCTCTTCTTTGTGAATTCTCCCAGCTACTCCAAACTGACATGCTGGCCCACACTCAGTGCATGTGTAATAGGAACATTTTAGTTGATTTCTTCTTGCTCCCTTGTGGGGTAGCCCCCTTTTCCTTCTGTGCTCTGCCAAAGGTGAAATAGTCTGGAGTCCTGTCTGTCTTTTGAGGAGATTGTTATTCTTTGGAATTTAGTTCATTTGGTTTTTTTTTAAAATGGGTACAAAAGCTATGATTTTTGTTGATTATACTATTTTATCCTCATTGTTAGACTGAGAGTAACATTCTCTTAGAATGGTTTTCTACAATGGAGTTAGCAGAATAATTTTAAGATTGCAGCTA